GTGCTGCTCTCATGATTCTTTGTCTTTGGTTTTGGTGAGTTTGATGATGATATGTCTTGGTGTTTTTCTTTTGGGGTCTATCCTGTTTGGGGTTCACTGGACTTCCTGAATAGGTATATTCTCATCTTTCATCATGTCAGGGAAGTTCTCTTCCAACAAATCTTGGACAATTTTCTCAGTGGTTTAATTTTTCTCTTCCTGTTCTGGAATTCCAATGACACGTAGGTTATTCCTTTTGATGGTATACCACGTGAACCTTAGGCTTTCTTCATTTTGTTTTGATCTTTTTTCTGATTGATCCCTTTCCAAAGAAGTATTCAGGTATTTGTCTTCAGTCTCCTTAATTCTGTCTTCCATTGCATCAATTCTACTCCTTCGCCCTTTCACTGTGTTATCTATTTCTGAAAATTTAGTATTAATCTTCTGGATTTTTATCTGTAGATTTAGAATCATTTCTAATTTTTCATTTATTTTGTTATTTTGTTCTTGTATTTTCTTCTAAAATTCTTCTAGGGTTTTGTCTGTGTTTTCCTTGGTCTGTCTCTCAATTCTTTGAAGATACCTAAATATAATTCTTTCAAATTCCTCATCAGGGAGTTCCAATGCTGCATCTTCCTCAGGGATGTGTTTTGGGTCTGTATCCTGGTCCCTTGTTTCTCCTACTTTATCTTGCTTCTTTGTGTGGACTGTGATGTTCTGTTTTCTCCGAGGCATTGTGATGTTTTTGTGTTTATATTTAATTGGTGATTATATGTTGGAGTGACTTGCCTACAATTTTCATTTTGTTTTGTTTGTATGTTATCTATACAGGCAGGGTACTGTGCTGTGCTCCTCTATTCACTAGTTGACAGCATTTATAAACTCACCACCTGTCTCCTTTTCTTTGTCAGCCTCTCGTATGTCCTTGCTGACCCTGGCAAACAGCCTGTTCTTAGGTCCCCGGAATCTGAATAAGAATGCTATCACTTTAAAATCCAAAATGGTTGCCACTTGTAAACATTGAAACATTGCCCTCAGTCACTTTAAATAGCCAAAGTGGCTGCCGCTTGTAAACGTTCAAAATAGGTGCGCCCTCGCTCACTTTAAATATCCAAAATGGCCACTACTTGTAAACATTCAAAATGGCTGCACCCTCAGTCACTTTAAATATCCAAAATGGCTGCACCCTCCGGACCGCAGAAAGTCCACAGCTCAGGTTGTCTCCATCCTTGCTGTTTCCCTTCCTGGTTATAGGCCACCAGAGCAGTTGTCCCTGCAGCCCTCGGTGACTGGAACTGATCTTTAGGTCAATTCTCAGGTCCCAACACCACTTGGAAATATTCAGGCTGTTGGTCTCATCAGAGTAGCTGACAGTCCACAGCTCCGGCCATCTCTGTACTCACTGTTTTCGTTCAGGTTTTTCCACTAGTTGGTGCCTAATTCACTTCTGTATAGTTCCTTTCAAAGCTCAGGGCTCCAGGATTATCTTCTGTATCTCTGTCAATTGGTTTTTCTTGTCTTTGTTGAAGAGGGTCTGTGTCGCTTGTCTGCCTATTCCTCCATCTTACCGGAAGTCTGAGTCTCTTAGGTTTTCTATATATAGGATCATATCATCAGCAAATAGGGAGAGTTTTACTTCTTCCTTACCAATTTGGATGCCTTTGATTTCCCTTTCTTGCCTTATTGCCCTGGCTAGGACTTCCAATAAAATGTTAAATAGAAATGATGATAGAGGGCATCCTTGTCTTCTTTCTAAAATGCAAATCTGACTAAGACTCTCTTCAGCTGATAGCCCTCAGATGGCTCCCCATGCCTCACCTTGAAGGTCCTTCTTCTGAGATCTAGAGGTCTCTGGGAGATCCATGAGCCCCCTGAAATTGTTCATATGATGTGCGTTCATATTTTCATCTTTCTGGGGTAGGGGGACATCTACAGCTTTTATCAAATCATCATATGGGTCTAGGACCCCTAAGAAACATGTAAAGAGACAACAGACAAGAACACTTGGTCTTCAAGATAGATCCAAGCTCCCACCATGACCTACAGGACCCTCCGTAAAATGCTGCCATGCCCTAGCAATGTGACCTTGTACAAGTTACTTTAACCTCTCTGAGTCTCAATTTTCTCATCTGTAAAATGGAAATAATAATAGTATCTCTTATAGAGCTGTCAAGTGAAATCAGGGAGTATGGAAGTATTATCTATTTGTAGCTCTCTAACCTTATCCTCAGGAGCTCTGGTGACACAGTGCCTAAGGCATCTGACTGCTAACTAGAAGGCTGGCGGTTCAAACCCACCAGCCACTCCTCAGAAGGAGGATGAGGCAATCTACTTCCATAGTGATGCTGCCTCAGAAACCCAAGGAGGGGTCTATAAGTTGGGTCCGACTCGATGGCAGTGAGTTTGGTTTGGTTTTAACCTTATCCTCTATTACTATCTACTCTCACGTTTTTAGGCTCCAGCCACTCTAGCTACTTATAGATCCCTAGACATTCACTGCTCATACCATTTCCTTTGCCTGGAATGCCCCATCCCCCATCTCCAGCCCTTGACTAACTACTCACTGCCATCGAGTCAGATCTGACTCATAGTGACCCCTCCTTGGTTTCCAAGGCGGTGTCACTAAGGAAGTAGATTGCCCAACCTTCCTTCTGAGGAATGGCTGGAGGGTTTGAACCATCAGCCTTCTGGTTAGCAGTCAAATGCCTAAGGCACTATGCCACCAGAGCTCCCCTGACTAACTATACTTATGCTTAAAGAGTCAAGAAGTCTGTCCCAACTCCCAACCACAAGGCTTAGGTGCCCTCCCCCTCTGCTACCAAATACTGTGCACACCTTCCACCTGGCTCCTAACCTTCCTAGCAGATATGACAATTATCAGTTTGTTGTATCTTTCCCCTCTCACTAGTCCAAGATAGGGGGACAGGGTCAATTCAAGGACAGGGATTGTGTTATGGTCACTATTGACTCCCCAGTGCCCAATATAGCATCTGGTCCACAGAGGTGTTGGCTGGATGAATGAACTTTTGGGCCTGAACATATGGACAAGCTGGGGTCTCCCAGGACCACCCCCATGGCCTGTGGACACTCACACTGGCCTGGTACTTAGTCATCACTGTCAGCATGAGCTTGGAATAGGCCATGGATGTGACAGCTGCCGGTCCCTCTTCACAAAGCTTCTCCATCAGGACACTGAACTTCTCAGGGGTCATCTCCACCTGCACACATTGGGGAGATGGAGCAGTATCACAAGAAAGGTCTGGGCTCTTCATTTAGCCAGCTCTGGATTCAAAACCCAACTCTCACTTCCTGGCAGGGTGACCCTGGGAAGTCAGCTTAACCTAGCCGACACTGAGTTCTCACATCTGTAAAGTATCCAACTTTGAGGCTGTGAAAAGGATGAACTGAGATAATGCACATAAAGCTTGGTTTACAGGTCTCAGAAAACAGTGACTACGTTGCAAAGGCATAGATTAGGACCAAGGGGAGGCCAAGGATCCTTCTCTTGGCGCAATGGTTAGAGAGATAAAGCAGTGACAGGCCCCGAGGGACACTGCCAGCATAACAACAACAGCTCTTCCAAGTAATACCCAAAAAACCCAAACACACAGCCATCGAGTCAATTCCGACTCAGAGCAACCTTACAGGACAGAGTAGAAATGCCCCATGAGTTTATTCAATTTGTAAATCTTTACAGAGAAGACTGCTTCATCTTTCTCCTACAGAGTGGCTGGTGGGTTTGAACCACTGACCTTTTGGTTAGCAGTTGAATGCATTAACCACTGCACCACCAGAGCTTTTTTCAAAACAATAGCTACCATATAATAATCATTATGCATCAGGTACCACTCTAAGTACTTTATACCAATTATTTAAATCACACCACAGTCTCATGTGGCAGGTACTATCCTAACACCCCATTCAGAGATGAGGAAACAGGCATGAAGAGGTTAAGATGACTACCTAAGATACAAACTAATGAGGCAGAATTTTAGGTGCTCTTATGGGAAAATCACTGAAATATATTGTTAATTTTTTAAAAAAAGATACAGGGAGATTGGTGTTATAATTTCTATATAAAGTAGGGGGTAAGTCAATTTATACATGTTTCTTTGACTATATGAATCATCTCGGGGAGGATTCCCATGAAATCAGCAACACCAGTCAGCCCTGGGGATGGGTATCTGGATGGCTAGGGGAGAAAAGTAAAGGGAATACTTTTTACTCTACATCCTTTTGAACTTTTGAAACTATGAACCACATGGATCTATTACCTATTCAAAAATAGAATTATATTTGAATACACACATCAAAACATACCTCCTCTGAGCCCACACAGCTAGTAAGAGGTGCAGCTGGGATTTACAGAGCAGTTAACTCTCTACCATAGGAGCTCTGGTGGCAGAGTGGCTAAGGCATTGGGCTGCTAACCAGAAGCTGGGTGGTTCAAACCTATCAGCTGCTCTGTGGGAAGAAGATAAGGCAGTCTACTTCCATAAATATTTATAGCCTTGGAAACCCAATGGGGGTTGCTAGGAGTTGGAATGGACTCCCATGGCAGTGAGTGGGTAACTCTCTGCCACAGGCTTTGAAGCCCAGGGTACTCTCACTGTCCTAGCACCTGCTGTGAGGCAGCTGTCCTGCTTGCCCCTCCATCCCAGAAGGAATCAGAAGCCCAGGAGCCCTGTGCCCCTCCATGGCTCTGCAGCACTTCCTCATCCACTCTTCCCCAAGGTAGGATGCTCACCTGCTGCTCCAGGAGTGACTGCAGCACCAAAAAAGTCTCCTCCTTCCAGGGCAGCTCCAAGATCTGTCTGCAAAGCAGAGCCCCAGTGAGGAAAGCCCATCCTCCAAGCCTGGGTAACAAGGCTTCTACCCTGGTGACAGCCAAGATGCCCAGCCAACAGAGGAAGTGGTCAGAGCTGGCTGACACTGGCGGCCATCCCAATAGCCACTGCAGCAGAGCCCATACTCAGTGCTGGGAAGGTCCCAAGACCTTCTCAAGATCCCCAGGAGCTGACAGTGAAGGACTTGATAGTGGGATATTAAAAAGGTCCCTAAAAAAAAACCACCAGGAGTATAAAAGATAAGGGAGAGCCAGGGAAGAGGACGCTGATGGAGTGATGACACATAAGGCTGTCGGGAGAAGGTGAGCATTCCCAGAAGAGCCCAGCCCATGCTGGCATCTACTCCATCTGCCCTTCCTGTTCCACTGCACAATCTTCACCTTGTTTGTAAAGGCAGCATGTCACAGTGGGAACCAAATGGCTTCTTGGCTGGACAGACTGAGGTTTGATTCCAGGTTGCATCACTTCCTGGCTGTGTGACCTTTGGTCTGGTCCCTCAACCTCTCTGAGCTTCAATTTTCCCATATGTAAGGTAGCAGTAGTTGACTACCTCATAGGATTGCACGAAGATTAACTGAGATAATGAATGCAAAACATATAGAAGGGGTCAATGAGGGTAGCTGGTATTATTTCTGAGGCTGTCCCTTTTCATATTATCCTTAGAATTTTATATTTCTTGTCTGTGTCCCTTGGGGTACGGAAAGGGCTTACTCATTGTTCCATGTCTGTACCCTGATGCCCCCATTTTAATACCCAAGCTTAATACCAATTTAATACTAATTTTTGAACACTTAGTAGGTGCCAAATACTGTGCTAAATTCTTTACAGGCATCATCACATTTAATCTTCAGAACAATCCTACCAAGGAAACAATATCCTAATTTTCCAGATGGGAAAACTGAGACTCAGAGAGATGAAAGAATTTGTTTGAGTTCACACAATTAAGTAAAAGCCAAGGATGAGATTTATAACCACGTACGATTCCAGAGCCAGTGCTCTTAACCAAGTGCCATATTCCAGCTACACTTTCAATTGCTCAAGAGCAGGGACCTCAGCCTCTTCTCTGTATTCCCAAAGGTACTCAGCATGGAACCGGCCCCTATACCAGACGGGGCAGAATTAGAGAAGACTGCAACCCCGGGCTTAGAAGGTACATAGGATGGCAACTTGCATGAGCCCACAGGTAGGAAGACACAAGCCAGGTGCAGACAAGAGAGGGGGATTTGGCTGAGACACTGCCTGTCCTTGATCCACAGAGCTCGGTCCCTACCCTGCTCCAACCTCATTGCCAGGAGCAGGCGTGGACTGGGGGAGGAAGTAGTGGGAATAAGGGCAGTATGGAGGTCTACCACTCACCCCAGCATTAGAACCTGCGTTTCTGGCTCCAGAGCCTTCATAAGGCAGCACAGCAACTCTGTTTGGGCTGGACCTGGACAGGGAAGAGGGGAGGGGAGAAATCTGGGGGGAAAATAGGAGAGGATGGGATTGGGGGGGTTTGCCCAGCCTATTACTGGGGGCATCATCAGGGAAGCAACAGGTGTATTTACCCACTGAATACCCTCTTCCTGCCAGGGTCACCCTGAACTGAAGGGTTGTGGGAATAGAGTGGGCAGAGCGATGAGTCCTGGAGCTAGCCCCAGAATCACCTATGCCTGGGGCCTGGAGCACAGGGCCAAGGAGGGCTTTGCAGACGGGGTAGGTATACTTGGCACAGAAGGAAGTCAGGGCAGTCATGAGCAGGCGGGAAGCTGAGGAAGTCAGGGAGAGGATCTATAGCAGAGAAGGAAAAAATTAACTTATAACTTTCTTCTTTCCATCAGTAAACATTCTTCAGATATGCATTTCAGATGGTGATAGGTGTTACAGAGGAAAAAAAAGTTCATTTATCTAGGATTCATATGGCCTGCCCGTAGCTCCCCTCCCCAGCTCCCAAATCCCTGAAAGCCCATTGATCAGCTTCTGGAAGAGTTCTAGGGCCCAATGGGGAAGAGTTAGATGCCATGTAGGTAGACACCCCAGAGTCCCTGCCCTACCAGTTGAGCAGGCACCCTTTCCTTGCCTGAGACTTTCCAGACACGCCAAATATCTATAAGGTCAGTAACCCCCTCTCCCAAGCACCCACTTTCTGAGAGCTCAGTTCCCACCATCCCTGGCATTCCCAGCATCTCCAAATGTACCTACTCGACCAAGAAAGAGGTTCCTGGTCAGCACAGTAGCATTGCTGAAGCTGAGGTGTGGTGACAGGGCCAGCAGCCAAGAGCAGAGCTGCTGGAGACTTGTGTCTGAGAGCTGAGGGAGCCGCAGCTGGGCACACAGCAGGTCCACCTGCCAGCAGGGAGGGGAGGGGAGGGAGCGAGGATACCGAGACATTCTATCTTGGTCTCTAGTCTGTCTCAAGACAACTGAGCAGCAGAAGGAGCAGAGCAGGGGCATGTGGGTAAGGTAAGGCTGAGAGCTGCCCCAAGGGAAAGGAATTAAGGGCTAAAGGAAACCACTCAGGGTGACCCCTGCTACTACTGAAGGACACAAGAAAACAACAAAACCCCTTCCCAAAATTCCCTTGAGGTAAGAAAACAGAAACTTAAATGAAAAAGGCAGGGGTTTGCCCTCCGCCCCAGGCATCCTTTTTGGACTCACCTGGCTGGGACTGCATTCGTGGAGAAGCTGCAGCTCAACCAATGGGGCACCCTCCAACCCCTGGGGAGGCAAATCCAGTGTTAAGGCTTCCAGAGCCCTTTGAGTGACAGAGGAAGTTGCTCAGGTCCCTAAAGGTTCCACTAGAAGAGAGGACTCTGCCTGGTGTTAGATGGCATATCTGTACGTGGGCCAAGAAAAGCCCCTGCAGCAACTGTCCTCAGACCTTCACTCCACCCTGTGCCCCTCTCCCAGCTCCTCCCATCAGTTTGGGCCTCACTGCACTGGGGCTTCTCTGAGCATTGTTGAGGTCCCAGGAAAAGGTGGAGGAAGGGCTATGGTAAGCAGGGTAGGGGTCAGTCACCTCCCCAGAGGTCGTCAGCAGCTGCTGTAGCTTGAGAAGTTGGTCCTGTGGAAGAGAATCCAGTCACTGCCAAGTCTACTCCCACAGCAGGACCCCAAGCCCAGCTCTGCTCCTTCTCCTGAGAAGGTCCCAAACCAGTGGGAAAGAAGATTCCAGAGAGCCAAGAACACAAAATCTATACATTGAAATCTATACATTGAAAAATATTTAAGAACCCAGAGTAGACAAGGCCTGTGTGCAAAATCCAACTGTCTAGAGTAGTCTTTTCTGTATCCAAGTAGAGGAGACCCAGACTATGGCCTGGGCAGGCAAGCTGGATGCTGGCATGACCCCACCCCCAGCCAGAAATGGCTCCAGGGCCTCTCCTCTTGCCTGGTACCCTTAACCCCACGTTATAGATCATTAGGACAAGTCCTTTCCACCTCTAGTAATTCCCTTCCCCACCCTTTCCTTGGAGTCTGTGAAGACTACATTCTCTCAACCTCTTTTGTCCCCCTTGCTTCTTGGACCACAGTCATCCCAATTTGGAAACATTATCCCATCCAGCTTTCAGCACAAACAATTCCCTGACTCCTGAAGGCTCATTCCAAACCCAGCCTCCTCATCCCAGTACCTGGACAACTTTGGGCAACTCCAAACTCTCAACTAGGTCCTTGGCACCCTCCAGATTCTGACCAGCTTCATCAGTCTCAGCCCCCACGGCAGACTGGTTCTTAGTGGGTGATGCACCTCCTCCATCTGCCAGGGATTCCAATGATTCATGTTCACAACCCTCCTCCTCGGAATCTTCCTCCTCCTCCCTTTCCAAACATCGGAGTCTTTTGGGGACCCTCTCCCTCTCAGGACTGGCAGGTTCCTCCTCAGGCTCCTTTCTGCGTTTCCCAAGCTGCTGGGAGTCCTTGTCTTCCTCCTCCACTTTTTCCTTTTCGGGGTCTGGAGTCTGAAGCAACTTCAACCTCCTGCCCCCCTGGCCCAGCTGCATACACAGGCTTTGGAGCTGTCTCTGGCAGCTTTTGGACAGTGGAGATGATCCCTCAGCGGAGACCCCAAGTCTCAGATCCCTCTGCAGCAATTCCCCTATGGCTCGTAGCCAGGAGCCAGGGTCTGGGTCCTGCTGGGCAATCTGTAGAACAGGGAGGAGCCTGCTTTCAGGCAGTGATGGCTGGACAGCCATCAGCAGGGACATCAGGTTCCTCTGGCATACCAGGGGCAATCGCAGCAGCAGTGGTTTCCTGGGTAGCAGAGGAGAGCACGCAGTTAGTGTCTTGCTAGAGAGACAGCCTATGTGGAGCTGAGGGATGGATAGCAGTGGAGAGAGAGGGGCCTACAAGTCAGTGTGGACAGACAGGGACAGCATGGGAGCCACTCAACAAGTGTTCATTGAGCGGCTCAAAATGTTATTATCTTCTATTTCAGCTCAAAAATTAATATTGGAACCTACTCTGTAATAGACTCATGCTTGTTTTATGTAAAAAAAATTTTTTTCTTACGGTTTTTGTGTATTACCTTATGTATATATTTTAACCCATGTACAATGTATATGTAAGTGACTGTGTTGGAAACATGTGTTCAATTATTTTAGTGTATTGATGAAAGTATGCAATCAAAACCATTTGACTCCACTGACTTAAACTTATTCACACCCTAAACATGGCGTGTCTTTCTTTGTCTCTTCAGTATCCTGTACGGACTGGCACACAGTGCATGTCCCTTGTCATACGGTGCATGGCAAGGTCCCTGGGGCCAGGGCTCTTCCATGCGCTTTCACAGAGGAGAATAATGTAACTTCTCTGTGCCTCAGTTTTCTCAGCTCTGCAAGGTTGGTAGCGACAGCCCTGGTGCACAGGACGAAGAACTGAGGCGCCGCCCCGCGCTACACCAGCAACAGCTGAGACCCGCAGGGGCAGGAGGGCCGCTGGCGGAGACTTACAGTACCAGGCGGCAGTCTGGCCCCTCCAAAACCGGCTCCTCCTGGCACAACGACGCGAGGAAGCGGTCCCAGCTAAAGGGCTCCCGGCCTCGATTGCTCAGGGCCCGCAGCACCCTGAGGCCGCCCTTCGTCCCCTCCGGCCCCGCCTGCAGCGCCTGGAGCAGGAGGCGGGCGGGGGCTTCCAAATGCGCCCAGAGAGCCGTACCCACACCCTCAGGCCGAGGGGTCGCCATGCCCGGGGCACCCGTGCTTGCTATGCGTCTAGTCTTGGTGCCTCAGCTTCGAGGCTGGGGAAAAGGGAGGAGGCCAGCGTTGGTTCTGATGCGGCGGGAGCTCCGCTCCAGAGCCCGCTGCATTCCCTCCTCAGCGCTCGGAAACCGGCCTCAGCCCGCGAACCAGAGATCCCGGAGCCACAAGATCCGGAGGGTGCGTGTACGGCCGGAAGGGGAGGGAGGAGGCGCGGCCGTGGGTGGGGTCGGAGCGAGGAGAGCTGGCAGGAAGGGGCGGATCCAGTAATAGGCAATCGTTTGGTAGGACGAACAGCTGAGAGCCTGGCGAAGCAGGAGAGTGCAGTCCCAGGACGCGAGCAGAGCAGCTGTTATGTGCCCTCGAGTGGGACCTAACTCATAGTGACCCCCTCCTTGGGTTTCCCAGGCATTATCACTATGGAAGTAGATTGCTCAACCTTCCTTCCGAGGAGTGGCTGGTAGGTTTGAACAGCCAGACTTCTGGTTAGCAGTCAAGTGCCTTAGGCACTGCCGGGACAGTCCCAAAGGGGTTTGTTTGTGGGCGGGACCCAACCGGAAGGAGAGGAGCCAGAGCAGAACGAATCCTCTACTTCTCACCCTCAACTTCGTCTTACCTCCATCTCTCACTGAAATAGGGCAGAATGGATGTTGGACCTCATTTCCTTCAAGGCCCAAGCTGCATTTAATTTTAACCGACACCCACGCTTCTTGTAGAAAATGGCTTCATGATAGAATTTGACCACCATTTATCACCCAATCCTGACTTCACCTCTGTTCTGGTTACCTAGTACTGCTCTGACAACAATATACCACAAATGGGATGGCTTGAACAAACAGGAGTTTATTCTCTTACAGTTTGGAGGCTTTAAGTCCAAGTTCAAAGTGCCAGGGTCTAGGGGGCTGAATGAAAGCCCCTCAACCTTGGGGTTCAGCTCTGCCTCCTGCTCCCGGCCCATTGGGGCTAGAGGCTTTTCTTCACTTAGACAGCGCCTAGCTGCTGAGACTGACAAGCCCAAGGTTGACACATAAAAAGGCACAGGCCTGATGTTACCAAACCATATCTCAGGACATTAACTCAAGTCCATTGAAAGTCCCAAGGTTGGCAGAGCATGGCAGGCTGTTGAACAATGACATGGCTACATGCAGGGTTCAGGCAGGCCATAAGCTAGAGACCATTTCCAAAGCTGTTTCTTATATATGAGAAAGCAGACCACATACCCAAAGCAGCTACTCAGCTGCTCCAATAGATTCCACCATGGAGTTAATTACCAATCTCACCATGGGGAATAACTACATTAAGCTGCCCAGTCACTCCACAAGGCCCAGCCAAGGTGACACACAAATGTAACCCCCACAACCTCTTCCATAGGTCATAAGATGTCAGTATATAGGTTTCAGTCTTCTCCAGAAAGATGTACTTGGTGTACAAATATCCCTGATAATGGGGTCCCAAAAAAAACTTAATGCCACCATTATGGCCATAAGGTTTCGCTATGAACTTCCTCCCAATCATTGACAAACCTCACTCTGGTTGTCTATAGGTGCCCAGGAGTGGCTCTACCTTCCTATTTCAGTTTAAGGAAATCTGTTGGATGAGCCAGGCTTCCAGTGAAACAAGAGATCACCCCCAGAACGTAGGAAAAGAGATACAAGGAGAGGGGAGAAAAGCTCCCAAGAGCACTATAAACCGTGCTTTGAGGGCCTGCTTGTACCCTCATCCTCCCTGCTTCTGCCGTGACACACACATCCACTCCTTCAATAACTACTTAGTAGGGGGTGCTAGAGGATTTCTGGTGGTGTAGTGGGTAAGGCATTTGGCTGCCAACCAAAAGGTGGGTGGTGCAAATGCACCAGCTGCTTCGAGGAATGAAGATGAGGCAGTCTGCTTCTGAGAAGATTTACAGCTTTGGGAACCCAGTGGCGGTCTATGAGTTGGCATCAACTCAATGGCAATGAGTTTGTTTTTTTGGTATGAGCCTGCTGGTGTTCTAGGGACTTGGGACAGGGAACAAAGCAAAGACTCTTGCCCTCATGTTGCTGACACTCAAGTGGGGAGAGAGAGACAACTAAATAAATAAACAATAGACTATTTGATTGTGGTAAGTACTTCCCAGAAGAATACTTTATAGCAGGGTACACCTGTTGTGGAAATGTGGCAGTTTCTCAAAAAACTGAAAGGAGACCTACCATATGACCCGGAAATTCCACTCCTAGGTATATGTCCAAGATATTTTAAACCAGATACTCAAATAGAAATCTGTGCACCAATGTTCATTGCAGCACTATTCACAATAGACAAAATGTGGAAACAACCTAAATGCCCATCAACAGATGACTGGATAAACAAAATGTGATACATATATATAATGGAATACTACTCAGCCAGTAACCAAAATGAAATCTTAATACATGCTAACATGGATGGAGCTTAAAGACATTATGCTGAATGAAGTAGGCCAATCACAATAGGGAAAATATTGTATGACTTCACTTATATAAAATGACAAGAACAGGCAAACGTACAAAGAAATTTATTAGTTGTTACTGGTGGGGAGGAAATGAAGGTTTATTGCTTACTGAATACTGACTTTCAGTTTATGGTGATAGAAAAGTCACATTGATTAAGGATAGGGTTATGCAACCTATTAGCTGTCAATAAGTTGTGTTGTTGTTGTTGTTATGTGTCGTCGAGTCGGACCCGACTCATAGCGACCCCTCCTTGGGTTTCCAAGGCAGTATCACTACGGAAGTAGGATTGCCCAACCTCCCTTCCGAGGAGTGGCTGGTGGGTTTGAACCGCCAGCCTTCTGGTTAGCAGTCAAGTGCCTTAGGCACTATGCTACCAGAGCTCCCTCAATAAGTTGTACAGCAGTAAAAAGTTGATTTGACACAGGTTGTATGATAAATATATTTACAATGACCAAAAAAAAAAAAAAAAGAGAGAGAAAAAAAGAGAAGGTGCTGAGAAAGAGTAGGTGCTGATGCTGCTGATATACAACCAAAAACTTCATAGGATTTGGTTCTTTGGTTTGGAGGTTTGAGGTCATGGTTTCCTAATAACATGTTCAGTGCTTGTGTTCTACCTCCTAGTTCACTCCATAGTGCCTTGCAAGCAACCATCCAAGGCACAATTGGTCTCTATTCTCCAGGAACAACAGAGGAAGAAGGAATAGGAGGAGGAAATGGAACATGTGGCTAATTGCCTCCATGATCAACTGCCTCCCGTGTCATTAGACCAGAACTGGATGGTGCCTGGTTGCCATTACTGAATTTAGATCAAAAAAGAACCTGATCAAAAAGGCAAAAATGTAGAATTTTCAAATTCTTACAGAATCTAGAGTTTTCTAGAGTCATGGAAACTGGATAAATGCCCAAAACTATTGCCCTAAGATCATTTTTAAACCTTAAACTAAAAATATCCCTTAAGTCCTCTTAAAACCAAACAGTTTAATTTAACTAGTAAACAAATGTCTGCCTTAAGCAAACATTAATATATGGGTGCATAGATGGGCAGACAGGCTGAACTATTAAGTATGTCTATGCAGGCAAGAATGTGCCCATGACCATGTATAGGGTTGGCAGACAATGTTTCTACAAGTGTATTTGTATGTTCTGTAAAAATTTCCAGGTATTTAGTAGAGCTGATAAGGGACAAGCTTGTAGTCACTTCTTGGCCACAGCCAGCGACCCAGAGGGAGAGAATAGTTGGACTTATAGGCTCGGGACCATAGTCATAGGGGACATATCAAGCTCAATTGGCATAACATACTACACAAAAACATTGTTCCACATCCTACTTCGGTGAGTAGCAACTGGGATCTTGAAAGCTTGCAAGCGGCCATCTAGATGCAACGATGGGTGTCTCCTCATGCAGAGCAAAGAAGAATGAGGAAAACCAAAGATGCATAGAAATAATTAGTCCAAGGCACTAGTACACCATGCGATCCTCAGCCTATATGACTATGAGACCAGAAGAACTAGATGGTGCCCTGCTACAACTGTCAGCCACTCAGAGGGGGATCTATGTAGGAGATCTTGGACAGAGTGGGAGAACAATGTGGAACAAAACTCAAAATCATTTAAAAAAAAAAAAAAAAAGGGTCTGATAGAGCCTGATGGAATCCCTGAGAGTATGGCCTCTAGCTTCCATTCAGGTCTGAAATTGAACCCACTCCTGTGGCTTCCAGCCAAACAAAAGACAGGCATATGAGCTGAACTTTTACATTAGGTAGATACACTCCTTGGAGAGAACAATCATGGGAAAATAGAAGGGTGGTGGTGTATGTACAAGGAGATAGCTCAGAAGGCAGGAGTGCATGGGAGGGAAAGACACAGGGAATAGATAACTATGGGTAGGAAGTAGGAGGGGAGCTGCTGCATTGTGGGAAATTGCAGTCAATGTCATGAGACAAAGTGTATGTGAGCTGTATGGAAGATGAATTTGCTCTGCAAACTTTCACCCAAATCACAATAAATTTTTTTTTTTAAAAAAATGTCTACCTTGAACATGGGAGCTCTGGTGGTGTAGTGCCTAAGGCACTTTACTGCTACCAGAAGGCTGGAGGTTCAAACCCACTAGCCACTCCTTGGAAAGAAGATGGGGCAATCTACTTCCATAGTGATACTGCCTCGGAAACCCAAGGAGGGGTCGCTATGAGTGGGGTCTGACTGGATGGCATATAACAACAATAACAACAACAACAACAACAACCTTGAACATTATACTTTTTAAAAGATATATCTATATAGGATCAAACTGACAACAGCAACTTGGAAAATTAGTTAGAAAACTTAGGGGGCAGTGAACCCATTGCTGTCAGAGTTGATTCCTACTCATAGCCATCCTATAGGACAGTATAGAACTGCCTCATAGGGTTTCCAGGGCTGTGATCTTTATAGCAACAGACTGCCACATCTTTCTCCTGCCAAGTGGCTGGTGGATTTGAACCACTGACCTTTCTGTTAGCAGCTGATCATTTAACCAC